ACTCAAACTCAAACTTGAAATCTGATAAAAGAAAGTCTCATTTACCAGGTTAACCCCTTTTATCTCTTTCTTATTTATTTATTTATTTATTTGGATAAATTATACTAACACCTCTTGAGGTTTCTATTTAATATAAATTCCTTTCACGTTTAAAAAATTACACTTACCCTCCTATTAGATTAAAATGACATATTTGTCCTTTAGCTTTTACAAATATAAAATAATAAAATAATATTGATATTTTGTTTATGCCATTTCAAGAGAAATAACAACCATCTTCTTTGGTTTAATTCACACAGAAAACAAAATTTTTATTTTATTTTATTTTATTTATTTTTGCTATATTTTTTTTAATATTTTAAGTAATTTTTTTATTTTTTATTTTTTATTTTTTAGATACATCTAATCTAGATATACTTAAGAAGTATAATAGTTTGTGATTTTTTTTTTTAAATTCACCAAATACAAAAAAATATAAAAATACAAAAATTCAATATTACTGTAATAAATGTGAATGGTGGTGTTTGTAATACTGTAATAAATGTAGGTGAATAGACAAGAAAGAAAAATGATGGTAGAAAACAAAAATAAAAAATTCTATTTATATATAAAAATTTATACAAAAAATATCATAAAAATATTGTGATAGTGATTTTGTTGTAAATATAAATCATGTTTATGGATGTTTCGTTTTAAAGTGAAAGATCACCATTAAGGTATATCATTGTGTTTGAAATTTTTATATAAAATTTATATTTGTATATTATCACTCAGTAAGAATATGTTCATGTAGAATTTAATGATAGAAAGTTATAGAATATAGTCATGATGATAGGAAAAAAAAAATAGGTACAAGTTCAAAATGGACATTTAGAAAATTTCAGAATATAACATTAGCAATCTACAGATCAATTTATAATGAAATTACAAACTTTAGAGAGGAGAATGCAATTTTTTAAACGTGAGAGACATCTATATTAAATAGAAATTTCAGGAAGATGTTAGTGTAATTTACCCTTTCTTTTTTTTTAATAAATAGAATTTCATGGGTGACAGACAATGTGTGGGCATTGCAGCATATGCCAAGCGCACACATCAAAATTAACGTTAAATGTCTAAATCTTTTAGGAGTTTTGCTCAAATAACCATATTATTGACTTTATTTTGCTAAAAGATGAGTTGAGTTAACAGCTTAATGTTACCCCAAGTAGTGCAAGTTAGGCAGAGCATTCATTTTTACATTAGAGAGTTCCAAACAATGAGCTCTAAAGCCAACTTTAATAAAGAAAAAGTTAGGGATCATGAAATTTTTTTTCATAAAAGTGATCATGAAAGAGTTTTGATTTTTGGATTACCTTAATTAGTGTGTGGTGCTTTATTTTAAATATAATTTAAGGGTCACAAAGTTTTCATAATTATTTTCATAAAAGATTTTTAATGATACCTAACATTGCTACTTTAATAAACTGGTAGTGAATAATAATGATAATAAACAAATCAAAATATCATATTGATGAGTGGCACCCACTGATTAGAGCTCTCATTGCTTAGAGCTTGAAAACATTTTTCTTTTTTGGGTCCTGTTTAATTCTCTGCATAACATGAATTCTCTGCTATTGGGTTCAAATAGAAACTGATAAAACAGTCAAAATTTAAAAATCAGGAAAAATAAATTGAACAAAAGTTTTGATGATTCCTTGCACACCCAAGGAAACTCCAACAATATATTAATAATAACAATACTAAATATTTATATTAATATTACCAGCAAAAAGGTGATAGGAAAAATATTAGAGAAAACTGTTAAAAAGTCCAAGACAAAAAGAGTATAAGATATTAGGTTTAATGAATATTTTTTTATTAGTGAGAGATCATTATTTGTGAAATAGTTTGGTAAAAAGTCCTTTTGTTGATTTGAAAGATATTTTGTTTTCAATTTTACTCTTTTACTTATCTGTTGACTTTTTTTTATCTGTTGACTTTTTTTTATCCATTGATTTTTCGTTGACTATTTTCAATTTTTTCCCCAATTTGTCCAAATTTATATGGAAAATTTATTTATAAGTCCTATTAAGGAGACTTATGCTACATATGGTCCTACTAAAAAACTTATGTTCCCGTAAGTCCTGTGGAAAGTTTGTTGACACATTTACCATCAATATTAGTTGTTTATATCATAAATAATAGTAAAACCATATATAGGAAATTGAATATTACCATAGATCATATCTATATAAACGTAACGTAACGTGACACTTACATAAATGTAACGTGACACCTATACGTAATATGACACCTACATAAACGTAACGTGACAACTATAATCTATGGTAACATGCAATTTGGTAACATGCAATTTCCTATATAGATCATATCTACATAAACGTAACGTAACGTGACACTTACATAAACGTAACGTGATACCTATGATCTATGGCAACATTCAATTTCCTATATATAGAAAATTAAATGTTACCATAGATCATATTTATATAAACGTAACGTAACGTGACACCTACATAAACCAGCAACATTTTTACATTCAATTTAAAAAAATAAAAACTCATTAAGTTTACGAAACGTAATGTGACACGTTACGTTACGTTTATGTAGGTGTCATGTTACGTTACGTTTATATAGGTGTCACGTTACGCTACGTTTATGTAAGTGTCACGTTACGTTACGTTTATGTAAGTGTCACATCCTGTTAAGTTTCACATCACGTTAAGTTTATGCAGGATCTTGTGGAATACATTCCTATCTAAATAGGACTTGAAACTCTATAAGAAATTACACAGGACTTAATCTACCATAAGTGTCTTAAAAAGAACTTATAAATAAGTCTCCCAATTTATATCTATCTGTTCAAATTTTTTGACAATCTATGAAATTTTTTTCCCTTATTTGTTTAAAATGTTACTATCTGTTGAAATTTTTTGATTATTTGTTCCCTTTATCTATTCAAACATATGTTTGTATTTTATTATTTGTTCAATTTTTTTCTCCGAATTCAATCAATCTAAAATCAATCCGTTCAATTTTATTTTTTTATTTTTTTTCTATCTGTTGAAATATGAAACTAAACACAATCCTATCTGTTGAGCCAAATCAACCTCTATCTATTGTATTACCAAGTCAAGCCAAATCCTATCAGTTCAAATTTCTATCTGTCTCTTCCTCTCCCTACTTAGCTGTTGCAATTTGTTTCATCATCATCAAGCATTGGTTCATCATCTTCGCAATGAAGGCCATGTATCCAAGTGATAGCTGTTGAAATCATATATTCACACCCAAAACAGAACAAGAACAATATATATATATATATATATATAAATATCTACATATACATACGAAGCTCGAGACAAAGTTTTTGATCGTATCGCCATGTGCAGGTGTGGTAAGCCGTCGTAGACCGCCGATGGAAGTGCCATCGCCGCCATGTGTTAAGAGAGAGAGAGATGTGATGTGGATCTGCAATCTGTGTGGATCGCTCAGATCTTGGCCTGCTGCATTAAGATCTATGCCGACGAGAGGAGATGCGGTGGTGGGGAAGTGGGAAGGACTGTCAACGGCAGCAGATCGAAGAGGACTGCGGTGATGGAGTCCGTCGGTAGAGAGAGAGAGCAAGTAGGGTTTGGTTTGGTTTAGAGAAATGTAGAGCTTTTGTGCTCATCCGACGACAACACAGTGCTACATGACGTCATGAAACAACGATGTGTCCGTTGCCATGCTCATCAGAAACCGCCGGCGGCAGTGCCACTCTCTGCTACGAACAATGAGGTAGAGAGAAAGAGAATAGAGGGAAGGGTGATAGAATGGAGAGAAGGGGGGTTGAGAAATAGGGATTTGAAATGAGTGTATTCCGTATATAATATTTATATATATGGATAGTTTGATCATTTTATATGAACTTATTTTTATGAACAAAGTGTTTCAGTGTTCGGATTTACGAGCAAGGAAAATTTAAAATTGAATTTATTGTCCGAGTGCCCAAAAATTTATTTTTTGAAATATTTACAAATAATGGGTTAACTTTCAAAATCCTTACAATTAAACCCCCATTGTATGGCCTCCATTACATAATATACACCTTAAAAAAAAAGTGACCCTATCTAAAAATAACAATTCCATTATTTTATCTAAACTCTTCACTTTTTATGTGGTTTAGTACACTTATACCTGATTATCTAGGAAGCATAGATATGGATACGAGATACATATACGATACGATACGGATATAGCGATACAACAAAACCTAAAAAAGTAGGATATCGATACGGTTAGGATACGTTTGTCAAAAATATATATTTTTAAAATTATTAATAGTGGGTTACACATAAACTAAAGAACGTTGAGAAATCACAATGTAATTTTATAATGCAAAATACTAACCTTTAAGAATTTTGTATTAATTTAAGTTAGTAGCATGTTTACTTTTTAAAATTTTAATAGGTCTTACAAATATTTCATTTCAATATCAAGTTTAATATATTTATATTACAATAATAGAACAATTCACAACTTGTCCGTATGTTTTTTCCTTTGAGACTAGTGAAAAACATTGTATTCAAGTTTACTTGCTTATTTATTTATTGATATTTAATTTTACCATTGTTATATTCTCTTGTTAATTCTTACTTTCTATGTAGTAATAGGAGACATGCATGAAATAAGTAGGATACATCAATTTGATAAATTCTATTATTTAACTCACTATGCTCTTCTTATCGAAGAACTTAACAAAGTATTAGAAAAATATTCTTATATTTATACTTGTAATTATATTATATTATATTATATTATTATACAAGAATGTTACAATTCTAATTTCATAAAACAAGTAAACATGACTTGGAGTATCTGATACTCCAAAATTAATGAAAAAATAATTAAGAAGTATCCGATACTTTTAATAAGCATCCGATACGTATCCGTGAGTATCCAAGGAGTATCGGTATCCGATACAGATACGATACGGATACGTCACCTTATTTGAAATATCCGTGCTTCATACCTGATTATATTTGTCTAAACTCTTCACCTTTTATGTGGTTCAATACAATCATACAATCATACACATAAGAACTAAAATAAAAATAATCAAATATATGCGGCGATAGCTAGCATTTTTTTTCTTCTTCTGAGGAATGCTATATACAAAATGAGCCACTGTTAGGCCTCCTTATGTCATGAAGTGGGATAGAGACACGTGAAGTTATTGCAGTAGGCCAAGAGTTCTTGCCATTTTGAGGCAAAGAAAGCACAAATATATGGCCAAAAGCCCAACACCCAGAAACCTATGAAGCCTCATATTGTAAATGGGCAGGACTACGAGGGCCCAAAGCAATCCACCCATTAGAAAGCCCACAGTTTCATACACAGTTGAATCTGTGTGTATGACACAACAAGATGGATACACAGCCCATGATGAAAAAACAAGTGACAAGCCCAAGCCCACAACAATGTTGAAAATGGGCCCAGCATAGCACCCTGAAATGCCAACCTGGACCCCATCTGGGCCACCATTCCTTGCCATTGACAAATTGGAGACTAAGTCACCAAGAGAGTTGCCCCAAGCAAGGACAGTCAGCCCTAGAATTGAAGGGCTTATGCCCAATACAAGGCCTAGTGAGACCAACAGAGAAACCAGTTCATCGGCAAGAATGTATGTCCAAGTGATGCTCATCAGAACCCCCCTACAAGCCATGGGAACAAGCACTTCCTAGTCCTTGGTGGGCCAGACACCTCAGTGGTGAAGAAAGCAAAAACACCCAAAACAATTCCAAATGAGGCACCAATTCCAACTATCAAAAGCTGGTTTGTGTTTGGAGGACCATCATAGTAGTCCCAAATCACAGCCAAGAAAATTGGAGCTAGCGTGGCTGATATAACTGCAACTGGCTTGGACCATCTCTCCTCAGAAATGACCGGTATGGTTAGCCTTCTTGGCAAGTCAAGTGGAAGCTCTAGAATGCACAAAAGTTTCCCAAACCACCACCAAAATCTTGAAAATTCAATGTTGTTCAAACACCATCTTATACCTTTTGGTTCACCAACTTGAAGCTCATGGTTTTCTTGATCAATGATTGAAGAAATAGGGCTCTTATCAATTATTAAACCCAACAAAGGTGCTCCTAACTCAGGGGATGCAGACAGGAGGGGCTTAGATGGGCCTAGTAAAACAACAGTACTGCACATGGGGGAACTGCAGGAGCTTCCTATAGATCTATCCTTACTACTATTACTATTACAAAGCTCCGAGGTGGACACCAAGAACACATAAACAAGGTAGAGAGAAAGAAAAGAGATTGCACCCCATAAGTTGATCTTTCCAATTGCGATAATCACAAGTAGGCATAGGATGGAGAGTAGGAAGAAGAGGACATCCCTAATGAAACTTGACTTATTGACCGATACCCGGCTATGGCACACACAAATGCTTATGATTCCAACCACAATGCTTGACACAAAAAATGCTCCACCCAAAATGCTATTGAGCCCAACATCACCACTATTGGCACTCTCTCCTCCTCCTGATGAATCTCCCATGAAAGAAGCTATGCTTGAGAAGAGATCTGGAGCGCCATTCCCAAGAGAGAGAAGAGTCACACCAGCAATAGAAGGAGAGAGATTCAAAACCCTAGACAAGCCCTCAAGTGAGGAACAAAAGTAATTTGCAGCTGTGTCACCAAGGAGATAGAAGAGCAAGACAAGCCCGAGGATGAGGAGAGTGAAACCAAGTGGTGGGTTGGTGGAGAAAGTGCAGTAGAAGAGTTGGAGATAGGGTATGAAGCTTCCTAGTTGACAACCCTTGTGGGATTTCACATAAGAGCACTTTGATTGGCTTTCATGGTGGTTGTGAAGGTCTTTGCAACCAATGTTGTCACTGTCTAAGATTTTAGAGTAGTTGGTTTTTTGGGGATTGAGGAAGTGAGATTTGGAAGGTGAGGAGAGATGGGTGAGTGTTAGGCAGATGATGAGGAGGAGAAAGGATATGTTGAGAAAGAGAGTGTGACACTTGGCTCTGTGAATGGGAAGAGGTGCTTCCATCTAGCAAAATCTAGAGAGAGAGAAAGGGGGGAGAGGAGAGAGAGTGGAAGTAAAAATTGTGATTCATGAAACAAATATATATATATATATATATGTTTGTTGTGTGGGGGGGAAGGAATCAAGAAGCTTTTGTTAGTGACGCAAGGGAAGTGCTTTTGCTAGCTTTTCCCTTTTCAAGATAAGCACTCACCGCAGTTGGGCGAAGATACAGGACCAGGATAGAGTGCTGGCCAAGATGCAGTCTCCACTAGTTGTGCCCATACCACGAGCTTAGGTTTGGTTGAGTGATTTGGAAATGAATTTGGAAAGGAAAAGAGATAATATATGTGAAATTAGATGTAAGTATATTTTATTTATATTTCATTTACCTTTTTTCTTTTTCTTTTCAAATTCTATCTCAAATCCACCCAATCAAACACAACGTTAGAGTCTTTTGTCCTTTGAAAAATCTTAAGAGTTGGTTTGGGAATAAAATTCTTAGCCTGATTTTTTTAGTTTTTTTTGGTTAATTTATTAACTCTTTTCATGGAAAAAAAGTGAAATGATTATGGTTTGAATGTGACATTTTGTCTTATTAACTTATATAGCTTATTTTGTGTTTTTGTACTTTATTAATTCCAACTTAAACCCAACTCACTTGCCAAATAAGGAGTAAAACTTAGTTTGGGAAGACTAAATAAGTGCATTTTTTGACTTTTTATGAAACATGGGTTGAGTTTGGGTTGGGTTTGAAGTGATGTGTTAGAGAGATGATATGACTTAAGTAAGATAATGTGACTTAAATAGGATAGTGACTTTTTGACTTTTTGTCTTTTTTCAATCGTGCCAAACTTGGCCTAAGTATATATATAGCGATTATGTGGCTTAGATTAATGAGTCTTTACTTAATTTTTTTATTAATTAATATATCAGGTAAGATAAAGTGACAATTACATTTAATATTAGTTTTTTAAGCAATTCATGTTTTCATCATGTGTTAATTTATTTATAATTATTATATTTTGAGATTTTCATACAGGGAAGGGACTCTCATTGAGTTGGCAAAGAGTTTTTGGAATAAATAGTCATAGTCATAGTCCTAGGATAATAGAGATAGAGGGGAGGGGGGATTAGAATGAGTGAGTAGTGTAAGGAGGCAAAAGTTTTAGTAATAATGCAGATGAGGACGAACTTCTGGACGGGAGAATTAAAAATGAGTGTAACTGTGACTTCACAACAACCACCAAGGTTGATGATGGGAGTTGGCCTCATTTGTTTGTGGAATTAGGTTTAATGTAATTATTGTAAAATTAAATGAGGAGATTATAATCTCCTAATATTAGATTATAAATGTAAAATAAATTGTGTTTTTTTTTTTTTTTTTTACATTAGTGTAATGATATTAGTTGATTGAGATTAAATGTATTAAATTACGTAAAAGTTCCCATTGTAGAAAAGATGATTTTATTATTTTTGTAAAATAAAATACAATATAAGGTATTTTCACCTCCAATATCATGGGATTGAAAAATATCTATTAGAGACCCTATGGTCATACCACTTGCCATGAAATATCAACATTGGTGTCTGAATATGTAATACAAAAATGTTGTGGACTACAAAAATATATTCTGAATTTTACTCTAAAAAATGAGTGTATAATACACAATTAAAGTTAACGAGAAGTGGGTCACGCCATAGCAAATGTAGTTCATTAGTTTACCTTTCTGAGTAATTTTTTAAATTCATAGTATTATTGTATGTAATATATCGAATTTAATTTTATTCACTCTGATTGATTGATGAATATTATTTGTTTATCTGATTAGTTCTTACACTCAGAGTTCACTACTTTGAAATTACTTAATGCAATAGAACCAATTTAAAAGGGGTCCATTTTTGATGGGATTATATATCAACCATGACTCTGTATGAGCTGTCTTCCCCACCAAATGCCAAACAATGTGCAATAATATTGTATTAATTGGGTAGCCCTTTCCTTTTTGTCTCCTACTCTATAATTAATGTGTTTTTGTAACTCTTGTGGGTTTTTTCTGATGTGACTTGCCAGTAAATCTCAACCACATAATTTCACTCTAGAGGATCCTTGGTGAAGAGGGGACAACACAACACATAACAGTGAGTAGTAATGGCAAAGTGGCCAATTTATATGACAACAAAATCCTACGTGGATAAATGAAGTGAAAATATATCACCCACAATTGTTTCATCACTTTTGATTAGCAGAATTAATAATGAAAAGATTAATAATTTATGTAGAATTAGTATAGAAGAATTGATTATTCAATAAAATTAGTGGGATAAATAATCCTTTCTTATTCACGTTTATTTTGCAGTGGATATGAAAATATATAATCCAATTTTGATTCATTTTAAATATATATATATATATATATATATAATATTAATAAAAATAAGAATTTAATTCCTTATAGTCTAGAAACAACGTAAAAAGTACAAAATAAAAAATATATTCTGAAGATTTTTATTTTTATTTTAAAATAGTTACCAAACGAGCACTAAATTCCTTTTCTAAAAGCATCTCCAGGTAGTCAGGGGCGGAGCCACTAAGGTAATGTTTGTTTGGGTGGACATAAGCTTGGGATTGGACTAATAGTCCAATAAAATTATTAATCCGATGTTTGGTTAAACAATTAAAATAGGGACTAACTATTTTAAACTTGACTATTAGTTAAGATAGGATACATAATCCAACGGATTCGTAGTCCTAGGACTATTAGTCATGGGAATGCTAATCCAGTCCGCCCAAACAAACATGGCCTAATACCTAAAAGAAACTTTCAATTATAACTAAACATCAAATGAGATATAACCAAATAAGTCATATTATTATCTATGAAAATTTCAATATAATGGTGATATCTATCATTATTGACATGCAAACATAATTAATTTCAATGAAGATATGAAATTTATTGGATTGTTAGTTATATTTGACATGTGGAGTTTATCCTCCATGTGTTTCTTTCCATTCATAACTAAAATGACCACTATATAAATTATAATTAAGCAACATATCTTCAATTATAAAAAAAAAAATTAAAAAAAATTGCAATAGGTCATAACTAATATCAGAATGAGTCATAACTAACTATTACTTGATATATAGTCATAACCAAAATAATAATCACAAAAAGTTATAACTAAATTATATCTAATACTATAATGTGTCATAACTAAAGACCACGAAGATTATAATTATGACATATGATAGACATTTTTTTGCGGTATGTTTTATAGAATTTTTTTTACTAAAATATATCATTTCTATCTCAACTTATCTTCTTTTTAAATTTTTCAATCCACCTATAAAATAGCTACTCTCTAATATTTGTATAAAATTTAATCTCAAATCATTTAATTTAAAATTCACATTTATCCAAATAAACTCTTAACATTTAAGTTTAGTAATATCTCATTGTTATTCATTATAAAGAAAAAAAAATTAATGTTGTCAATAATTTATGCCCCCTCTTTATTGAATTTTTAACTACGCCACTGTCTCCAGCGAGCCATCTAAGAATTCACTAGGATAGAGTATTAGAGCATCCGCATCAGACTCTCTACGAGCATCCGCATCAAATTTGTTTTCTATCAATCTCAACAATTTTTTTCTAAATTAACTTTTTGTTAAATTTGATACAATACCTGAACAACTTTGTTGAGCCACTGTTCATGAGTTACATGATTTTTTATTATATTTTCTGGAGCAAAAGTGGGCCAAAATCTTTAAACCGGTCGTCCACCTAGATGTCCTCCCGGATATCCTACTAGATGTCCTATGAATGCCTGTAGCAGAAAAAGAAAAATGCCCAAAATTAGCCTAATCGGTCGATCGACTGGTCAACGGTAATTTGTTTTTTTTTTTGCTACATTTTTTAAGAATTATTTGGGTGGCATCTCATCAATTTAATAAAAAAAAAATAAAGAATAATAAATACAATAAGAAATTAATATTTTAATAAGATTGAGTTAGAATAGAGAGTTTGATACAGTGAGTACTAAAAATGTGACTAACTAAAATAACTAAAGTGAATTTTAAATTATAATTTAACTCAAAATTTGTTGAGTCTGATACGGATTCTCTAAGCTTATTTAACAAATTGAAATTTTACGGGATTTTTATTAATAAGTCCAATTTAGAAGTGCTTTAACCCAAGAAGTCCATGAAGGAATTTTTTAACCCATTTAGTCCCATGTATGTATAGTTTTATTCCATAAAGTCCATTTTCTTGATTTACACTATTTTCTTGGACACTTATGCCCTTATATTTAATTTTGATACCCTTATAAATATTTTTTCAACGATTAGCAATTTAATAATGTGAAAATTCATTTTTTAAATTTCACATTTGTAGAAATGTAAATTGGCCCGTGGGCGGCCCGAAACCCGCCCGCGAGCCAAGGCGGGCCCGGCCCGTTGACAATGTGAATATTCACATTGACATGTTAACATTCACATTGATAAGAGTATAAAACTAGACAGTATTTATGGTTTAATTCTTGTATCTAAGTTATTATTTCATACCATGGTTTAAATAAATTGTTTATTTAAATTCTGTACTTTTATTTAGTATTGTGTGACACATGCAATATTTTATGATTGAGAATTTTAATGAGTTGGTATAACATTACTTGTGATTAAAAATTTGAAATTATTTGTGATTAACATCAAAATTAACTGAAATGATTAACGACATATACAAAGTTAACAATTGACGGTTAATACCCGTTGTTCGGGGTGAGTCTTGATTTAAAGACTGTACGGAATTAAGGGTTGACGGTTAACACCGGTTGTTCAGGGTGAGCCCTGGTTTTGAGAATTCTCACGTAAATTGTGTTGCGAAACTCTAAGATGGCACGGGACTTATTTGAACCATTTTCGGTATTCGGTTTTGGAATAAGGGTGGATGTGCAGGTGGCACACAGGGAGGTTACTTACCCCTGGCAGACCGTTTCCTTAGGGCAGACCACGGATGCCACTACTTGGGTATATAACTCCGGACGTGGGCATCCCTGGTAGTTACGGTTGGTAACACTTAAATATTTGACCAAGGGAGGGTTTCAAATTAACCGTTGCCATGCTTAGTGGTTGGTAAGCTAAATCTCTTTGGTGAGATTTCGAGTGTCACCTAATTTATAAAAATTACTGAAATTATTCTAATGGTTGTAAATTCTGTGTATAATTATATTGTTATCTCATGTTTAGAATATTATTATTTTT